CATCTGGGGCAAGAGGCCACTCATACTGGGGAGAAGCCACACACGATCCCCCAGTGCAGGGCAACGTTACGACGCGGAAGCAGTCATGGCACTTGTTGTGGATCCAAGAACGCCTTTGGTCCCAAACACAGAGATACTCGGGACCAGGGTGTCCACCTTGGAGTACAGTCCTTTGTGTGCAGTGAATGTGGGAAAACTTTCAGGTACAAATCCTTATTTGCCATACACCAGAGATACCATACTGGAGCACGACTTCATGAGTTTGGTCCATGTAGGAAATCCCTTGGACAACGACCAACCCTGAATGAACATGGGAAGACTCAGGGTGGATCCAGGCAGTACACGTGCAGCAAATGTGGGAAATCCTTAGGCCCTGAATCTGTCTTCCTTCATCCCCAGAAATGGCACAGTGGAGGGGAGAGTTATGTTTGCAGCGGGTGTGCAAAATCTCTTAACGGTAGCTCAGTGTTGCTTACTCATAGTGTCCAGTCTGGAGATCGGTTGTATAAGTGTCATGGCTGTGCAAAATCTTTTCCGTCTATGTCTGCCCTCTCAGATCATGAGAGATCTCATGCAGGGCAAAGACGGTATGAGTGCAGTGATTGTGGGAAATCTGTTACCAGTAGTTCTGGCCTCCGTTCTCACCAGAGAGTTCACACTGGAGAAAGGCCTTATAAATGCAATGAATGTGGGAAATCTTTTGCTGGTAGTTCTTCATTACGTTATCACCAGACAATTCACAGTGGAATTAGGCCTTATGAGTGTAGTGAATGTGGGAAATCTTTTGCTGGTAGTTTTGTCTTACGTTATCATCAGAGAGTTCACACTGGTGAAAGGCCTTATGCGTGCAGTGAATGTGGCAAATCCTTTATCCGAAAAACTAGCCTCAGTGTACACATAAAAGTTCACTCAGGTGAAAGGCCTTATGAGTGTAGTGAATGTGGGAAAAATTTTACTGCCAGTTCTGCCCTCCTTCATCATCAGAGAGTTCATACTGGAGAACGGCCATTTGAGTGCCGTGAATGTGGGAAATCTTACACTGCTCGTTCTGCCCTCCGTTCTCACCAGAGACTTCACACAGGAGAAAGGCCTTATGAGTGTCGTGAATGTGGGAAATCTTTTACTTTTAGTTCTGCCCTATCTTCTCACCGGAGACTTCATACTGGGCAAAGGCGTTATGAGTGCTATGAATGTGGGAAATCTTACACTGCTAGTTCTACCCTCCGTTCTCACCAGAGACTTCACACTGGAGAACGTCCTTATGAGTGCCGTGAATGTGGGAAATCTTTTACTAGTAGTTCTGCCCTCCGTTATCACCAGAGACTTCACACTGGAGAACGTCCTTATGAGTGCCATGAGTGTGGGAAATCTTTTATCACTAGTAATCAACGTCGTTCTCACCAGAGAGTACACAGTGGAGAGAGGCCTTATGAATGCCCTGAATGTGGCAAATCCTTTCCCCGAAAAGGTAGCCTCAGTATACACAAAATGGTTCACTCAGGTGACCGGCCTTATGAGTGTAATGAATGTGGGAAATCATTTATTGCTAGTTCTGCCCTCCGTCGTCACCAGAGAGTCCACACTGGAGAAAGGCCTTATGAGTGCCATGAATGTGGGAAATCATTTACTGCTAGTTCTGCCCTCCGTTATCACCAGAGACTTCATACTGGACAAAAGCCTTATGAGTGCCGTGTATGTGGGAAATCTTTTATCACTAGTAATCAACATCGTGCTCACCAGAGTGTTCACAGTGGTGAGAGGCCTTATGAGTGCAGTGAATGTGGCAAATCCTTTCCCCGAAAAGATAGCCTCAGTGTACACAAAAAGGTTCACTCAGGTAAACGGCCTTATGAGTGTAGTGAATGTGGGAAATCATTTACTGCTAGTTCTGCCCTCCATCGTCACCAGAGACGTCACACTGGAGAAAGGCCTTAGAGTGCCGTGAATATGGGAAATCTTTTTATGAGTCATAATGGTTTGAGACATCATTACAGCCTTCACACTGCAGGAAGGATCTAAAACAGCACAGGTGATACTTCTTGCTTGGTGGCGTTTAGGCTGGAGGACAACCTCTGAATTGACTGTGGTTCCCCTGAATGTCCCCAGTGCAGTGACTTCCCATAAGAACC